TAGCGATGGAGTCCACAGCCGCATCCTTAAAGGGTTGCTTCCTGAACTGCTTGAACAAGTCGAGCGGCACTGTGAAATACATCTTGTGCTTGAGCCCCTTCAGGTCCCTGGACAGTTTCTGTATGGAGGCTTGCAGTCCCGACACGACAATTGGGTGCTTGGTAGAGACGGTCACCTGGATGAAGAGCAGTCACTCTGCCATGCCACTCTTGTCAGGGAAAATAAGAAAGCTGTCCACGCCTGCAAAGCTCCTCACCACCGGCACCAGGAGCCCAGATATGTTGTTGTTGTAAGGCTGACTTCTTTGAGGTCGCTGTCCTGCACCTCCATCAACTCTATTTCCGGCACTGTTAGGCTGACCTCCTGGCACACTAAACGAGCCGCCCCTGCACAGTAAGTCGTGCACTAGACCCTGGAACATTATACCTCTAAGCGAGGCCAAGCTGGTCTGCCAGCGGAACACTTGATGAATTTGGCTAACTTAGCAGTACCCTGCTGATGAAGCTGCTTCATCAGCGGTCAGCACCGATTTCCTCTGAGCTGAAGACCAGGCATTTCTGCACTTCTTCTCATTCACATGAGCTGAATACATGTACAACTCAGGGCACTTACAGATACAAGCCTACACCTACACCTACATAACCTGCAACTTCAGCAAATGAGCAAATGCCAATGATGTCCAGTGCCCAGGTACACACGAGCTGTGAGCCCAACAGTGAGCGTGAATCCTGATGTCTGGAGGGCCCAGTACAGCATCATGCCACAGTGATCATGCCAAGTGAAGCCACCGAGTAGATTTCCAAAGCCTCTGACGATAAAGAACCGTATGGGCTTTTTGTGGGCAGCTGCACAGCAAAACGCTCTCAAAAATGTATCCTACACATGAGCATTAACGGTGTCATTAACGGTACTGAGTTGCACTCTGCTGGCTAACTCTCACTAACCCTCGCTAACCAGCGGCCAGCACTGATTTTAGGGATGCGAATTTACGTTTTACGTTTTTACGTTTTAAGGAATTAAGGTTACGTAATTACATAATTAAGATTGGACCTGGTCGTAATTTACAGAATTAAGGGCTCGCCGTAATAAGGTCCCTCAGGAGGGGTAGAAACCTTAAAAGCTTAACAGACCCATGGGTCTTACAGGTTCCGCCGGTCTGCAAACCAGGGTGCCGCTGACCCGTCCACTCCTCCGAAAACACCACAAACCCAGCCATGGGGGAAGCGTGAAAGAGTCCAACAATGCAGGTTGAAACCCGCGATTCCCTCCGCCCAACCAAGCAAAAGAGCAAGTCAAGTAGTCAACACGACAAGTAGTCCTGGTTTGCAACGGTATTAGGTGTCGTGGTCGAGTATGTATGCACGGCTTTCAATGCTTAACGAAATCCCCGCGTCAGCCATGGTTCAAATTGGAAAGGCGATAGTCGCCAAGTCGGCTGTACAAGCGCCAAACTGATGTCAAAAATATGTAAATAAGTAAAGAATGGTGTTGCGAATGTGAAAACGCTGAAATTGTGCTGAAAATCCAAAATCGTACACTAGTACGGCAACCTTAAATTAAGGGTCCAGGGTCCAGGCCGTGGAAACCGTAAATTACAGTAATTTACTATATTACGCTTTTAAGCTTACGTAATTAAGGTTGCCAAATCCCCATTCAGCTGAAACTCACATCCCTAACTGATTTCCTCTGAGCTGAAGGCCAGGTGTTTCTTGCTGCACTTCTTCTCATTCGCACCCCTCCCGTGTTTTCCCCCCCAGTCCCCGGCGCCACCCACACATCAACACGTGTAACAACAAAACACATAAAACACGTGAACAGAGAAACTCATCAGCGAGAGAGACCTGCAGGGAGGTTCAAAAGGCCAAAGGATTAAATCAACAAGTCATTCCCAATTCCCCAGCTCACCTCAGGCTGTTGTTCCTCTTAGCAATGGGGCGGTCCAGGGAGAGCAGAGGCGACAAAAGGATCAACCCGGTGAATAGCTGGGGCTGCAAGGAGAGGAGACCGACCGGGGGACACAGGGCCGGAATTATAGTAAGCGGGAGGGATATAAACAACTACCAACTACCAACTACCAACTACCAGCTGGAAACGTCCAATCAATATTGAAAATGGGGGACGAGGAATCAAACCACAATTTCCAAGGAATCAATCCCACAGGTTGCCGTTGAAGAGACCTGGGCGCCAGGAGCAGGGCGACGGCCACAGGGAAAAGGAAAGAAAAGGTGGAGGAGGATGAGAAGAAAGTGGTTGAGGAGGATGAGGTGGCGGCGGAAATGATTCCTCAGTCGAAGCAGCAGCTGGGGGTTACTCCGCGACCCATTGAAGTTACCTACCGACTTACCCAGATCGACCTGGTGCCATATTCCCGGGCAAATTAACCCTCCTCATAAACACCTCCAACATAACCTCACGCATTCATTCACCCCCACACCACCCACAACAGGCTGCTCTCCCTCCAGGGGGGGTTTGTTCCCACCTGATGTAAGCAAGCTAGGGTCGCGAGGAGCCCACCTAGGCTGTGTCCCACCAAAAAGTACGGAAGTCCTTTTGGAAAAGCCGTGTTGTCATTTTCCAACACGTCTCTGCACGGGACAGGCGGATTTAATCCGTGATTGCTTTTTTATGAAAAGTCTCTTAACTGACTGATACAACACAGGAGGGTTTCCCAGGTCATAATGGGTTATTTTCTCAAGAAGAATTGTTTGTTAAGGTTAGTTACAAAAATGGTTTGTTAGTTTGTTAGTTGGTTCGTTCTTCCGAGCAGAGGGTAATTATTATGAATAGGACCTCCGCCGCGGCACATACGCCTGTGATGTGTAAAATGGCTTACGCTGCTGCTGCTTCATATGCTGCTGCGGCTTCATATGCTGCTGATGCGGGTCTTGATGGACTGAATTGCCGAACAAATGCAAATGGTCCATCACATGCTGAGGAAGGCCGCCGTTGCATCACACATCAGGGTGCTGCGTCTCTTGGAGGGGATGTGAATCTCGGCCAGGTCTTTGGCCGGGTCGCTTCTTACCCAGACAGCATTAAGAGGTTGTCCACGTGTGTTTGGAACTTGATTCCGAAGCGGGCGCCTTTGGACCTGCCGTACCCTTGGTGGTCAAGGCCGCACACGGAAAAGCCAGCCTGGTTGAAAGTCTCCACCCATGATCCCTCATACACGTTGGGGAGGCCTGGTCCCTAGGCGTGGAGCGTGTAAGAGGGGAATGGAGAGGGCAAGAGAGACCGGGGAGGAGGTGAATGTTCTCGGTGGTCGCAGTTACTTATTTGTGCGTGTGGCTTCGGCACGGGGGGCGGTTGCCTTGACGCAACGCAAAGGAGATTGTGTGACGTCAGTATCGTGAGGAAAAAAGGGGGCAGAGTTTATAGCCTTGTAGTTTCTAAACTCCTCTCGTTGAACAAGCCGCGGCGCGTCAGCATGCTCCCAGCCTGCTTAAAACCTTAGCGCATGCACATTCATGATACTCTGTAACGCCAGCCTCATTTCCAAAGATGGATACTCAAGCCAGCAGGGCTCGATGTACCGAGTCAGTTAGCCAGCAACACCGCAGCTCAGAGCTCGCCACGCTTGATATACCTTATATCGTAAAAAGTCAAAACAGGTGTAAGCAGCACTTCCATGGGCTAACTGGATGATGCCTTTAAGCGGGACATTTGCGTTTGCAGGCCAGAAGTACGCAAACAGCTCAACTCCGTCCCTGTTCTTCAATATTTTGGAGTAGCCTAGCTGCCCCAAGTAGTCCTTCTCTTCATCGAACGTAGGCAGAACTTTGTTAGAAGCAACTGCCTTGTTAAGAGAGACGCAACTGCCCATTTCATACAGAAACTAGCAGTACGTCTTGCTAAACTATGAAAACAAGCATTTAACAATATGGGCCTGCAAGCCAGGTTAATGGTGAAGTTACAGATCAGCCTACAATTGAGTGTCCTGACCTAAAACGATCAATGCCGAGGGTACTGGATTGAAGGTGCATGGAAATGCACTAAATGATAAATAAGTCATTGCGCGAACTTGGGCTGCTGCTGCCTCTAAGGATGATGCCAGCTCTGGTGGATCCAGATACCGACTACGGCTGCAAAAGCTTAGCTAGCACATGCGTGAATGTCAGTGATTTAGTAATAGTAGATAACGCACTTCTCACAATTGCAGCGCGGGGAAGCGTTAATTGGGAAGTAAAAGCCCTGCACAGCCGTGACAGCCCGGATACGCCCGCCCATTATCACTATAAGCTGCCTCAAATGTGCCATAGCTGTGACTCGATAGCGGTATTCCCTGCTCAGCGTCCTGGAAAACGAAAACACCGGTATAACGGTACACAGAGCCAATACCTACGGTTGTTCCCATGCATGTTAGGACAGAAAATCTAAGTAGGTCACCAATGTTGTACAAACAACCATGGATAAGTTTACACAATCATCTTGCGGAATTCTCATTTCTGCCGGGGGTGGCGTTTGACTGTGTGTGCGCGATGTATACCTTCAGGCAGGCAGCCATCGGACACAGGCCGCAGATCGAAATACTCAATAGTGATGTAAATCGTACACAATCCTATGGAAATGCTTTTAAATTGCTAATACAAAGAAGGAAGTACCGCCACACATCCGCGCACGAAGGGTTTCCTTCCTACCCGTACCTTTCCCCCAGGCGTGCGCCTGCCATCTAAACAAATCCATAGCATGTATTTATTGCCGATTTGCTGCTGGGTACATCATAATGGTGGCCCCGCGCACTCTCTTCCGCTGCTCATGTGCGTGGACAAGGTGGACACAACACAGGCATCATTGCGATCGCCAGTCCAGCCCCCACGTACCGTGCACGCATGCAGCGGAACTAAGCGTTCCGTGCACTCCTGGACATGGATTCTTCTGCCTGAGGCAGCAGCTGCAGCAGCAGCATCGC